CCAAAAACTGCCTAATGTAACTTCTGAAACCCATAGAAAAGGATGATTTGATTTTTTAGCTACTTTTTCCTTCTGCTGCTGCTGCTCCTGCTCTTGCTGCTCCTTCTGTTCAAAAGACAGCTCCCGGATGGGAAAACCCATAGAAAAGGATGATTTTTTAGCTACTTTTTCCTTCTGCTGCTGCTGCTCCTGCTCTTGCTGCTCCTTCTGTTCAAAAGACAGCTCCCGGATGGGAAAACACCATGGCAGTGAAGGACGGAAAAGCGTCAAAATTGCGACCAAAAACTCCCTAATGTAACTTTGAAACCCATAGAAAAGGATTATTTTAGCTACTTTTTCCTCCTGCTGCTGCTGCTGCTCCTGCTCTTGCTACTCTTTCTGTTCAAAAGACAGCTCCCGGATGGGAATTTCCAAGCTCAAAAACGGCGCCTCCGCCACGCTCAAACAGCAGGGCCCTGAAGGACGGAAAAACATCAAAATTGCGACCAAAAACTGCCTAATGTAACTTTTGAAACCCATAGAAAAGGATGATTTTTTAGTTACTTTTTCCTTCTGCTGCTGCTGCTCCTGCTCTTGCTGCTCCTTCTGTTCAAAAGACAGCTCCCGGATGGGAAAACACCATGGCAGTGAAGAACGGAAAAGCGTCAAAATTGCGACCAAAAACTCTCAGAAACGGCGCCTCCGCCACGCTCAAACAGCAGGGCCCTGAAGGACGGAAAACCATCAAAATTTCGATAGAAAAGGATGATTTTAGCTACTTTTTCCTCCTGCTGCTGCTGCTCCTGCTCTTGCTACTCCTTCTGTTCAAAAGACAAGAAAAGTAGCCGTCTTCTAGCTTTCCAAGCTCAGAAACGGCGCCTCCGCCACGCTCAAACAGCAGGGCCCTGAAGGACGGAAAAGCATCAAAATTGCGACCGAAAACTGCCTAATGTAACTTCTGAAACCCATAGAAAGGGATGATTTTTTAGCTACTTTTTCCTCCTGCTGCTGCTGCTGCTGCTCCTGCTCTTGCTACTCCTTCTGTTCAAAAGACAGCTCCCGGATGGGAATTTCCAAGCTCAAAAACGGCGCCTCCGCCACGCTCAAACAGCAGGGCCCTGAAGGACGGAAAAGCATCAAAATTGCGACCAAAAACTCCCTAATGTAACTTCTGAAACCCATAGAAAAGGATGATTTTTTAGTTACTTTTTCCTTCTGCTGCTGCTGCTCCTGCTCTTGCTGCTCCTTCTGTTCAAAAGACAGCTCCCGGATGGGAAAACACCATGGCAGTGAAGGACGGAAAAGCATCAAAATTGCGACCAAAAACTCCCTAATGTAACTTCTGAAACCCATAGAAAAGGATGATTTTAGCTACTTTTTCCTCCTGCTGCTGCTGCTCCTGCTCTTGCTACTCCTTCTGTTCGAAAGACAAGAAAAGTAGCCATCTTCTAGCTTTCCAAGCTCAGAAACGGCGCCTCCGCCACGCTCAAACAGCAGGGCCCTGAAGGACGGAAAAGCATCAAAATTGCGACCAAAAACTGCCTAATGTAACTTCTGAAACCCATAGAAAAGGATGATTTTTTAGTTACTTTTTCCTTCTGCTGCTGCTGCTCCTGCTCTTGCTGCTCCTTCTGTTCAAAAGACAGCTCCCGGATGGGAAAACACCATGGCAGTGAAGGACGGAAAAGCATCAAAATTGCGACCAAAAACTCCCTAATGTAACTTCTGAAACCCATAGAAAAGGATTATTTTAGGAAACCTATAATAGTAGTAGTATAGCTGTAGCTGCTGCACAGACTTTTGCTGCTGCTGCTGCTGGCTCCCGGATGGAAAACACCTTGGAAAAAATCACCTGCCGGCAGGAAAACACCATGCCTCTGAAGGACGGAGAAGCCCCAAAATTGCACCCCGAAAATGCCTAACGTAACTTCTGAAACCCATAATAGTAGTAGTATAGCTGTAGCTGCTGCTATGTATGCATTTTGGCTACCTTTTCCTCCTGCTGCTGCACAGACTTTTGCTGCTGCTGCTGCTGGCTCCCGGATGGAAAACACCATGAAAAAAATCACCTGCCGGCAGGAAAACACCATGCCTCTGAAGGACGGAGAAGCCCCAAAATTGCACCCCGAAAATGCCTAACGTAACTTCTGAAACCCATAATAGTAGTAGTATAGCTGTAGCTGCTGCTATGTATGCATTTTGGCTACCTTTTCCTCCTGCTGCTGCACAGACTTTTGCTGCTGCTGCTGCTGGCTCCCGGATGGCAGCAAAACACCATGCCTCTGAAGGACGGAGAAGCTCCAAAATTGCACCCCGAAAATGCCTAACGTAACTTCTGAAACCCATAATAGTACTAGTATCAGACTTTTGCTGCTGCTGCTGCTGGCTCCCGGATGGAAAACACCATGGAAAAGCTCCTGCACAGACTTTTGCTGCTGCATTTTGACTACCTTTTCCTCCTGCTGCTGCACAGACTTTTGCTGCTGCTGCTGCTGGCTCCCGGATGGAAAACACCATGAAA